CCTCTGGGTTCAAACCCTAGTACCAATATAAATAAATAAAATAATAAATAAGAAGAATTCTTTTTTTCCTCAATTCTGGAAGTTGAAGCCAGGACTACATGCAAACCCAGGCAAGCACTCTGCCTCTGAGGTTTGCCCCCAGCAACAGCAATTAATTTTACAAAAGAACTTCCTGTTCTAGTGTCTGCCCTTGGCTCTGGCTCCTCCCCTTGGGCCAGGGCCAGCCTCCCTAACCAGGATTTAAAGCGACTGTGAGCCTCATTACCGGGACGCCAGACATCTATTTGCTCTCTCAAAGCCATTTCTGCACCAACGATGGCCACCTTCGTGGAGCTCAGCACTAAAGCCAAGATGCCCATTTTGGGTCTGGGCACCTGGAAGGTAAATATGCAAATTTTAGGAGGCCTGCTTCCCTCCAGGGTTGTCTGAATACTTTTCTCTGTAGTCAGTTGGGGCAGGGGCTTAAAGAGGTGAAATTCAGCCCTAGAGCTGAATTTCTCTGGGCTGATGGAGGCTGGAAGGTTAGACTGGCTTTTCTGGGCAGGGTGAGTGCTTCACTAGCGAGTATCAAGTTTCCAGCACAAGTTGGACTTACTAAAAAAAGAAAGAGGGGAAGAAAGAAAGAAAAAGAACAAGGCAGCTACTCTCAGCAGTCTCTTTCTTCTAAAACACTGCTTAGTTCTGGGACATGCAGAGAGGGGCTCAGCATTTCTTGGCCTTGGGTTTGGTGATGGCTGAGTGATTGCGAGGACCCAGAGCTCTAATAATAAGGGGGGCTCGGGGTGTAGTACAGTGGTAGAGCGCCCTGAGTTCAATATCCAGTAACTTAACAAAACAACTCTGACCCAACCCAGGCTACAGAATCAATATTTGCTTTACTGAGATCCCCAGTGGTTGACATGCTCATTAAACTCTGAGAAGTACTGGGATCACAGACAGCCTCGGTCATCACAGAGTCAGGAGCGAAGGTCCCACTCTGGCTGTGTTATTGTCAGCAGGCAAAATGCCAAAA